CTTTCTGCAGAGACAATGAATAAAAAAATGAAATGTAGACAGCCATCTCAAGTATTGAAATTCAATGTGAAAGCTGATCATTTGTTGAGCGCAGACTAGATCTATAAAAGGTAGCGCTATTGCAGCTACAATTCTTCTTTGAGGCTCAACTGAAACAATATACAGTGGCAAAAAGTAATCCCCCTCCAAATTCCTGACGGTCTAATGAATTGGGAACCTGCAAGCAAAAGGAAGGCACTGGCAAAATAGAGAAACGAAACTGAAGCTCGTGGAGCAACACCTTGCTGCTTTGCATTTCTGTTTGCCCCCAACGATAGAGGAAAGAAAAAAAAAGAAGGAAGGGGAGGCTGTAGATTTGAGAAATAAGTCTTCCTTTTCTTCACGCCCTGGAGATACTGCATGCCTGAGCCACACAATGCATTCAAATGAGATTCGGTATCGCACGCTTCCGTATTAAAGCCACGTCTCGTGGAAACAGCTTTTCTTTAGGAAGAAAAAGTTGAAGTGGAAATGAAAAAAAAAAAAATTAAAGGACGAAGAGCAAAAACTGATTTGATGCAAAAACAGAAACAGTATTGAGCAAGCCAGTCTTGCCTGCATCACTCGAGACCCATCCATGACTCGCCAACCAAAGAGACAATACTGAAACTGTATTAGCATGTCCCCATCACCCCCGAATCCACGGGGGAAATTTCAACGCCTACCCTCCAGGCTTCCTTGTTAAAGGCCGCATTTTATGGAAGAAAAAATGCGACAACAAAGAAGAGTGTGTAACAAAGCATTGACTCCCCCATCAGCAGCGCAAATCCCAGTTCGGAAAGGTTTGCAACACCCATCCGTAATTAAGTATGTGCTGTCTGTTAGCAATCAATGCCTCAATGTGAGAGCGACGCCCGCGCAGCATAAATAAAGCGGCTCGACGGCATGCTCATGGACGACAAAAAGCTTCCCTCGAGGGTAATTAGAACTAAGTGATGAATGACTGCGATGTGAACTGCGCGTGAAAGTTGTAGCAACAACAAGGATGTGTGTACAAAGGTGATCACAGCAATCAGGGCAAAGCACTCTTTATATGTCGAATGTCAAACAGACTCACTTTGACATAAGACGCATAATGACAATGAGTGATAGGAAATCAAAAAAGCAGCACTATGCTGCGTGGCCTCTCTCATTATTTCAGAGGAGGCCGAGCTGTTTACTTGCAGGGTGCTTGCAAGAGTGACCAAAAGAGTGCAACTGCCCAGTGCTAAAATTATTTTAAAAAGCGTGAGAGACGAATCAGCAAGGTGAGCACAGTTCAAACAATTATGCATGTATGCATGATAGGAGAAACGGACGGAACAAAAAACGGTGACCCAACACAAGCGCTTTGTTGCGCGACTTTCATCCCATCCGTGTGCATGCTGTATTTTTCCTGCATCGTATTATCATCTCGCACAACTTTCCGTGCTGCATCTGTAGGCATGATCCAAGAAAAAATGAATTCTTTAGCAGGCTTGTGTAAATTCCCAAAAATGCACAGACCCAGTTGCCAGTGAAGTTGTGCATTTTGGGATCTTCGTGGTGTTAACACATGGCTAACTCTGTTAAATGCTCGTATTGCAAACACTTTTGAGTAGGTTAATCTTCAAGGAGTTTTTTGGAGCTTTCCATCTAGGCAACATGCATTTGATTTCTCGCATACAGATTTTCTGGCATTCCCCACAACGTTTGCTGAATATAATCTCTTTTGCAATATACATTAAATATTCGCTCTCCCTGAAAAAATATGGAATGCTATGGATCACTTGTGGAAGTAGTGAACTGCTCAGGCCATATGCAGGCGTGCATACACTTCAAACTTCACCTAGACACTGCCCCCTGGCTTTACCATAACCTGAAGCAAATGTAGAATGCCTTGTTCTGCTCACTCAGAACACCAAAGAAACCTGTCCTACCCAATAAGTCAGCAATGAAATATGAAGAAAACTGGAGGTCAAATAATTATTTGCTAATCCAATCAAGCCAAATTGCTAAAAGCTTTTCCAGTTTACAGGCAGAATTCCCCTATTACTGCCAAATGTAACTCATTGTAGCACAGATTTTTCCTTCACGACATGGAAAAACGAAGCATCAGGTGGTCACAAAATCGAGATGCAAGCTTACCCATAAAAATTCTTCACAAAAATTTGTTACCCCTTTACACATTTAGCACCTCACACATATGTATGTTATAGCATCCTCTCCAGGTTTTGTTAAATATCTTTGTGGCTTCATCCAGCGATCATGGCAGTGCTTTGCGCCATTCGTAATACTCACTCGTGATGTTCTAAAGCACTCGCATAAGTTTATTGTAATTTTGTATTCACATAACGCGCACATGACAGTGTGTGGCCATCAGAGATGCAACACTAGATCACCTGTTTATGGAGTCATAGACTGTATTCATATTAAAGCTTGTTGTTGGGCTAGCTAGTGATTCCTCGTATCGTAAGTAAACCTAGCATAACTTGGAAACCCCGTCGAAACACTCGCATTCCTACACTGTTTCACTCGAGCGCTGCACGAGGTGCGTGTCTCTCGAGCGGAAGTGTGTGCAAATGCACGAGTGTTTTCAGGGATTACCAAGTTGCGCTAAATTACTTACAATAAGACTATTCAGTCCACAAATGACACAGAGGAAACATGCTAAAAACACCGAATAAAGTATAAAAATACTGGAAAAAAATTAAGGTGACGTAGTTGCTCGTTGAGATTCTATTCACTGAACTCTAGCTTAGCTAAGAAAAACTTCAGTCTGCCTTAATGTAGTGCTAACATTGCTCTGGTTTCATCTGCCACTTGTTCCAAGTACGAGCTGTATGTCATGTAACAGTTTTTTGGGACTCTGGAAAACAATCTGAGTAACAATTGCATGAGAGCTGTCAATAACAGCTGTGTAGGTATAGGTAACCTGTATGGGCAAGCTCATAATAAAAGCCATACTTGACTGACACACAACTATCATCACCCGATGATGTAAACTAGACCTTGGTAGGTTAGGCTAAGTTTTTGATGCTCTTGAGCCACCTACACATGATCTTGCACTGCATGCAGTGCAGATTCAGAGTGCACCATGGAAAATGCAATTTGATGCCTGCACTCTTGACATTCAGCTGCAGGTCTAGTAGGACAGCAAGTCTTCTAGCAAGGACTTTCGTGCAAGAACAACAACCCATATCTGTCATGGGTTCTATGTTGAGAATGACACTTGCAAAACACTTTACTTACCAGGTTAAATAAAAATAAGTTAGGACTACTGAATCATCTGCTTTTCCAATGTTTTGAGACATAATTTGCTTGAAATGCTTGCGATTTTTCCCCCATTCCCTGGGAGTTCCAATGACGACAGGTTTCATACTCTAGAAAAAAAAATATTTTCAAAATAGTCCCTGAATTCTGCCTTAATTTCTAGTTTGCCACCTTTATATGAGGAGAGTCGGTACTTTCACCCTCCTTAGCGAACCGAGGCCTCCTTATATGTTGTTGATGCGGCAAGAATACAGTAGGACACCCAGGTACAATGGACAATCTAAGAAATTGGTGACAAGTTCCAAGAATTATTCAAACAAGAATAACAAAAGACAAAACTGCACCTAGGAAGTGACAGTGACCGGAGGCCTAACAGGATGGGCAACTCCAAGTGAAATGCAAGGGAGGTGACATTACGTATTTCACGTCATAGAGTGCGTTGCCTACAAGAAGCCACAGATATCTTCAAGCATCAGTGCACATTCCAGGTAAACAGCCAAGCAGTCAGGAAAAATAAGCGCAACGTCGCAGTTCGTGCGATAACGCAACCTGTTTCAGAAGCAAACAGTGCCGAACACGAGTCGGTAACGAAGACCTACTGTGCTCTGCAGCATCCCATGTTTATTGCAGTTTGCTTTCAAAGGCCTCGGTTTTTATTTCTTGCATTAGAGCCGTTACACTTTGATAACAAACACCCCGCAAAAAAAAAAAAAAAACGCCTCCTGCCATCCCCACTGAGTCTCTGGATACCAGATAAAGCTATACCGGGACAATCAATGCAAACCCCATAACTGAATAACTCCCACTACATGACTATCTCTGCCTAACTCAAGCAGGCCTCTACAAAGCCTGCGATTCAAGTGGCGGGTGTGCCAAAATAGAAGAGACAACACTTGCGTTTGTTTCTTTCCCCTCCTTTCTCTATCTGTCGCACCAGGTGATCCCAAGCTGACCGCGTTTTGCTCGCTATAGATCTACATGCTCCCAGGAGCAAGTGCCTTTTTAATCACATCCGCATAAAGTGCAGTACCATTTTACAATACTGTAGTCAGAGTCCCGAAACGGTGCGCTGCAACGGGAAGAAATCGGAACCTATGCACATCTAGTCTGATTGACAAACTATGCTTCTGAACATGAAAGCAACGTAGAGAGTCTAGACTCTCTACGTTGCTTTTCATGCACAAAGAAGAATAATCATACACAAAGAAGAATAATCGAAGAAGAATGAAGCTGGATAAGGTATAGGGGATGTTATTTGTAGTCTTTTTAACTGCATTGCAGTAGTCATATAAATGTCACAAAAATTGAGTTGACCAAAGAATGTGTTGTTGACAGGGACCAAACCTACGATATTTGGATGACCCGCTTGACGCTCTACCACTTGAGCTATGGCAGTTGTGGCCCTGCTGTACTCATTATTGGGTATTTCTGTGCATACAGACCTGGGAGTTCCTGTCTGCCAGTGGCAAGCTGCTTTTTCATTAAGTTTAATTGATTCACTCTTACATGATAACTACTCCAATATAGTTATGAGACTACAATTACATCTCCTATACCTTCCTTGGCTTCATTCTCTATTGGTTTCCATCAAGATTACACTGCTAGAATTAGAACACGACAGACGAGCCTCTGCTCCTGTGCACTGCTGTTTCAAGCACGGTTCGTCAACGTGCCCTAAGCGATGTTCTTGTGCGGAACTGGAACCAATCTCCCAGCAGGAGGGGCCTCACCTGTTCCTTCACAGACTGGAGAATGCTGGCTGCCGAGCTATTGGGGTAGGTGTGCATTAACGGAGGCTCCGGCGGTGGAGCATCCTGGCTCGCTGGCATGGTGTTGTGCTCTCCGAGCAGAGAAGACGGGAATCCCATTCAACTGCGGCACAAGACATTGTCGGCATTGACCCAGTGGCAAATCCCTATGCAAGACTGCCAACACCAGCGACCATTTGGAAGCAGATACAGAGGAAGTAGTGTATTCAAATTACCCGTGCAGAGTGAGTGTTTAATATTGGAAGGATTGCATAAAAAACACCACACACCACGGAGATTGACAATGCCTGTTCCACTAGTGGAATGCGCAGCGAGTATTGTTCATAGTATGCCAACCAAATGTAGGACTTCATACATGGGCCAAACTGACCAATCTATAAATGATCCTCCTTCTGACCATAAACACACAGGCACTGTCATAACACATCATTGCATAGCCTATGGGGAGAATGAGGAGAAAAATTGTGAGGCTTTCTATAGCGACAGATACGATTGCTATAAGCAACCACTCAACTTCTATTTACAAAAAGTGAATGCACATTTTCTGTACGCGACGTGCTAAAACAGCAGTTTTTAATCACCTACCTCCGTTTTACGGTTTGCTGTGTGCATGTGAGGTACAGCCTTGATGGCTTTTGCCCTGTATTTCCCATATAGTCATTCATCTAGAAATGCGAATTTTTCCTGCAAGTTTGCACACGCGTCACTATATGTCTATTGTGTGCTGTATTTTTTACACATGCTCTCTTTTTTGAAGCAGTGCACCAACTGCCCCTAAACGTGTGCTACTAAAGCAAAATGATTGTGTTGACATGTCCCAACCAAAGGCCAGAATCCCAATGAATTCGAAGAAGGGGATCCTTCGACTTTTTTCACAATTCAAAGCGACATTTTGGCGTGAGAATGCCAAAGCGAATAAGCACAATAGATGTTTGATGACCTTCCAGGTCTCTGTTCCTGATGCAAACGATTCAGGAATGTCCACGTAGCATCGATCGGGGGGGAGTCTACTTTTCGTTGAAAGTTACAATTTCCTAAGCGATGTTGTGACTGGAAACAAGTGTCTGCGCACCAGGAATGGGTAAAACAGTAATGTGTGCGCTGTTTCAACATATTTATTTAAGCGCGACGCGACACCGAAAAGCTGTGCGGTGGCGATGACAGATGCTGCATCAGAACTTGATACAACGAAGCACTAATGCTGCGGCCTGCACAGAACCTATTGCGCTGTTGTCGCCGTTCCAGATCGGCTGGACATAATCAGAGTTAAAACAATTTTCCCACGCACCTGCGGCGCGACACAACGGTTACGCGCCACAGGTGCCGTCAGGTGAAACGCACGCAGCGAAGTAACCCTCAGCCGAGACGTTCTCACGACCAAAATAATACGAAACCGCGTACTAGACCCTGGGACACGGACACGAAATCCGCACTCACGGGGATCTGAGGTTTTTTTCAGGTCAGCACCAACAGAAACAAGACAACCTTCCGACCCGTCGGGACAGGAATCCTACTTTTTTTTTTCTCTCCTCACCCGGCCACCACGCAACCTCACCGAATGTCACGCGCGGTTGTACAATAAGAAAAAAAAAAGCCGGTTCGACCGGGCGACAACAAAAACGAACTTACCCAGCCGTTCGCGTGAACTTAGTCCGCGGCGGCCGCATCGTGGGCACGGACACGACGCCTTGGAGGCGTTGGCATCCACAACGGCGTCTCGTTGGAATGCGGCTTCCAGAGTCGAGCCGTTGGCCCGTCCGTAGACCGTACGAGGCACGCTAGGCCTAAGAGGACTGCGGGGCCCCCACAAAAGCTCAACGTCTCCGCGCACTGGTCAGCGGAGGGGGTATTCGTGGCCCCTCGGCAATCGACCCGACTGGACACGGACACACCAGCGCGCGCGGTCGCACGGAGTTGGAAACCTCCGAGAAACCTTCACTGAACGAGGTCGGAAGCACGGCTTCGTAGTATCCACAAGTAGAAGAGAGATTTTGACACTTGCACGGAACAGGAATGAAACTAGAAATCAAGCAAACAGCATTCGAAAAAGCGGCATTGTCGTGGTTCTCCAAACGGTCCCTAGAGGGAACGACTGTAGGAAGGAGGAGGTGTGGGGGAGGGCCAGCCGCTTCGTCGAGGGGCCGTATAAGAACGGCGGCGTTGCATTGCTTCCAAGCGTCGGTGTTGGACGGGCGGTGACTGACCTACGGCCTTGGTGGCTGCGAGGACGGCGCCCGGTGCCCGCACAAAAAAAGCAAAGCAGCAAAGCGGCGACCCAAAAGAATAGCCATCAGAGCACCTAAAGAAGTTCGCCTCAAAGAGTAGTTTACCCTCTCTCATCGTCCGGGCTACTGCAAGAGATGCACTGCCCTCTCCTAAAAAAAGCCATATGGAACGTCGCGCTTTTGTGTTGACGCTAGCTCACTTAGCGACAGGTCTCACCGCGGCGTCAGCCTCTTTTTATCTATACATTGGAGCGGGCATTAGCTGACGAACAAAGGCGAAGTCACTCGCTGCTGAAATTGTAGAGGAAGAAAAAGACTGAGATGAAGTAGAAGAATGTGGGCATGGGTCAATGTAGTGCGCGCGCACGCATGGACGCACGATTAAAAAAAAAAGATGAAAAGACGTCGGGAGGAGCACGGACGTCCGAAACTCGATAGCGCGCGCTTGGCATGCGAAATTTGAGATGAGAAAGCTGCGAGGAATCCGGCGAGCGTGATTTTAATAAAACATGACGAGCGGGGCAGCTAACGGCGCTCATCTCGCGAGCACGCCCCGCAGCACAAGCGGAGAAAAAATAAAACAGGCGAACTGAATTGAGCCGTGAAATATCACCGCTGTCTCTCGAGAAAAATGCCGTTGCTTTCAAGGGGGATCTCTTTGGCGCACGGATACCACAGCGTATTCAAGACAATATTGATTGTTCGGGTCAAGGCATGCACGTTGTAAACGTGCGTGCCCCGATGGCGGAAGAAAGGCCCAGTCATCATTTACGTCGAGATAATGTCACCCCTGCTTGCATCACTCGGCAACATCAACATGCCGCCAGGCAATGACTTATTTCGAAACTAGCGCGCTCTTTCTTTCCCCATGCTCCTCTCTCTTTCTCGTTTGCCATAGTTTATATATACAATTACGAAATTAGAGAGCGTATACAAAAGTTTATCTGACCGAAATGCACAAGCTACACAAATTGCATTCACCTATGCCCGATTTATTCATTTAGCGGGGGAACATTAATTAAAACATCAGTTAGATCCCACAAACGCCGAGCTAAAAGAAGAGAGATAAAGAAACGTAGTTTCATACGTCGATTACGGCAGGTGCGCCAGCTGAGAATGAAGAGCCGTAATAACGAGAAACGCACTAACTCCACACCGGTTAAAGGAAATTTGCATGCGTAATTACCTTCCATTTTCCCAGGCTGCGTAGAAGCTCTCCGCATGCTCATTCCGGGTGTATCTGCAGAGCGGCGGGCGCGGGACGTGCAGCCCATCCAAGATTTTGATCAAAAGCCGGCACACTCGTACGAAACCCCGGGCGTTGGATGAAGAACGTGATCACAACAAAAGCACCAGCACAAACACGCACTCCCTCGCAGAGTTCGCTGCTAAAGCAAGTGGCGCAGGGGGACAGTCGACGCGGCACTGGTTTCACAAGCAAAGCCGTTTGAAGAGCGCGCACTCGAAGTTTCCAAGGCTCGGTTCAGTCATACGCAGGCTTCCTCGATGCGACCCGAAGAAAGATACACACGTACTGCAGTGAAGTGCAGGCAGGATCCCTTTCGGAGAGCACTAACCCTAACCCACGGATAGCTCAGAACCCTGGGCCCAAAATCGCCATACGAATAGTACGCGACGATCGGCGTCTCCCGAAGCCGCTGCAGCCGAGACGTTGCTGCGATCGCAGAACACGTTTCCCGCGACGACCTTCGCCGCACACACGCCTTCGCTGGCCGTTTATTCGTCACGGTAGCGTCGTTTCTTCGCCGCCGCATGGAACGAAGGAGAGTCCGCAAGAAAACACACCGCCGCTGGCACACCGTCGCCTCTGCCGCTGCTGCTACAGCACATCGCGAAACCCGATAGAGAGAGACCCCCGCGCACCGAAGCTTTTGGCTCACATCTCGGTAATCTCGTCGCTAGGTTGGTGGAGCCCACTTGAACGTGCGTTATCCACGCATAAGCGCACAAAAACTACAAAAAAAATTGGTGGAAGATAAGACAGAAACAGGCTTTCGCGTTTTACTTCCTTTGGAGTAGAAGGGCGTAAACGCGTACTGCAGCAGTGCGCGAACTCCACTAGCTCACCCGTCCCTTCGACCGGCAAAAAAGCCCTCCTTCCAGGCGTGTGCGAGAAAGGCGAAGCGAGTGCTATTTGGGCCTGTGGCGCCATCTGTTGGTTAGCTCCTGAGAGTGACTGCGCCAGCCGGGCTCTCAACGAAAGCTGAAGTGCGGCAGAAGAGTGCCTCTTCTGGCTCGCTTCAGCTTTGCCCACGTGAGCTTTGCCAGTCCTCCGCCTTACTAACTTTCAACCAAGTATCGCAAGAGGCAAAGCTGCTGGCGACCCTTCCGGATACAAATAACTCCTTTACCCCTGCGCTCCCGTTGCAGTCGCGTCAGCGCTGCACATTAAATATTCGCTTTTCTGTGCCTGGAACTACCAGAGTGTTTTGGGAGTGGTTTCAGTTATCGGTCAGGCCTCCCGATCGCGAGGGGGGGGAGTCACCATACTTCGAACAATTTCTAGGCGCGCCTGTTTTGCACGGCGCGCGCGTCTGTTCTTGGCTTGTTGTTTTCTTTCTGTTTTTTCTTCTTTTTGAAAGTGTAATCTCGAGTCTTGGCAACATCACGTCATCCTTCAGGGCCTCCCTTCTATATTCTCCGTATTCGAGAAGGAAAGGCGCTTTCGCTCCCGACATAGACGGAGATTCCCGTACGTGCGCGGGTGGGCACACCACGTGTAAAACAGAGCCATCAAAAGCGCCGCATCGCGCTTTCTTGTTGCGCTTGGAAGAAGCGCCCTGGCTTTCGAGAAAAAGGGTAATCAATAATAAAGCTTCCGGCGGGGGTTCCGTACAGAGAGAGAGAGTTTTGACTGTATGGCGCCACGTTTTTTTTTGGTGCAAGAAGGTCCAGCGGTATGGAGAAAATATATTGCAAACTCGATACCCATACTTCTTTCCTTTCGTCGGTCCGTTTCATTCATTCTCTTTTAGTTCCCTGCCTCAGGCAATTTCTCTTTACGGGGGACGTGTTGCATCGCAGTGTGACTACCGCGAAACACAACGTGCGTTCCAGAAGAAGACGTTTTGCAGCGTCTTCAGGCGCGCTCCGGCAGACCAGTTGCGTTCAAACAAACATAAGCCAAGACGAAACTATACGAACGCATACGAGTAAGAAAATATTTGCCAGGATATCGTTGCTATCCGCCCTTCGCGGAAAGCGAAACAATGCTTAACATGTTCCTGCGGATTACAAGAGGCAAAGTACTTCATCACAAAACCAAAAGAAAAAGAAGCCAAGAAAACAAATGTATTCTTTAATGTTCTGGACCGACGCGTACACCACTGGAAATTTCTGGCTGAGTAAGCTCTTCAATATTTGTATTGCTATGTATAATACTGGATAGCAGTCAAAAACGAACCATGTTTATTGACAATGAAGGCCCGGAAAGGCTACGTAGCCAAAGTGGCTGTGTGCCACCACTGAAGAATATAGTACTTCAATTGCGCCCGTATTATATGCAAGAAAATCATTGAAAAAACCTTATTTTTTATGGGGTGCTGTTTAGAAGGAGACGCAGGACACACTAAAGAGATATTCATATTTGTTTTGTTTTCTGCAGTGACATTTCTCGTTTCAGAACGTGTGAAAACGTGGCACTTTGTACGTGCACCTCACAGTCAAAATGGCACTTCGTCTTCAAGTGAGAGCTCGTCACCCTCCAGCTGGTATTCCGACGGCTCACCGAAGGAGCTTGTGCCGAATTTCTCTCGCAAATGGCCGTCTAAGCAGACGTACCAAATGGTATGCAACGGTATTGTTCGAACAAGGCCGTCATTCGAAGCGGGGAAGTGGTACGGCATATGTAGGTGTTCTGTGATATGGCTCACTGATATCCCAGCACTCCCTACACAACTGTTTCGAAGGAGTAACATTAGAGTGGGGCGGGAGGCAGTTTTGTGTCAACTACCTTTTATGTGTTAGTGTGTGTGTGTGTTCACACACACACACATGCACCATTAAAGGAGAAACTCATATATTTCCTTGTGTATTGGGGTTAAGACAAGGTGAAGGCCATTTTTAAAGACAATAGTCATTCTTGGGATACTTCAAGCATAAATTTTTGTCTGTTTGCTAGAAAAAAATTATTCCATCGTAGTACGGAACAAATTATAAGAAACAGTGTTAAACCATTAAGAACATCAATAAACACACACAAACGACTGAACACAATGTGCATGAAACGTCGGAACAAAAATGTCCAGTTCCATAAGACTGAGTTTCATAAGAAGTGTGATGGTGTCATTACACCACGTAATCGCTTGGTGAATGATGAGCCAATCATTGAGTTTCCTAAATTTAACTAGACGGGACTCTGGCGCTGCGATCGTTCAGCGAATATGGGAATTAAGGGTATGGGTATGACCATAGCCTCCTCTATAACTTTGTGCCCGAGCGGTCGGTCCCTCAGCGCCGTCCCCCGAGCTATTATGGGATGCGAGCGCTCCTGGCGGAGCGCCGAGGCGCAAAACGAGAGAATGGATGGCAGCTATGGAGAAAAAACCGGCTTTGAGTAACTACCGAAAGGGCAAAAATGAAATAAGGAGGGAGGCATTTTACGATAATTCAAGGGGAAGCGCTTTACTGTTTGAAGCGAGATCGGGTTGCCTTAGAACGCGTAGTTATAAAGCAAGATTCAGTAAAGAAGAAGAACAATGCACATGCTGCGGGAAAGATAAGGAAACGGCGGAGCATGTTCTGATTGAATGTGGAGATATCCACCCAGGTGTACTCCTGTATCCGTCAACTGAGCTCGTAATGGTTCTAAATTCTCTAAAGAATTACGCGGAAGTTTTCCTCGCAAGAGCGAGAAAGATGAATCAGCCACTGAAGGCTGCCGTTGACAACGCCGCGCAAATACTACAGAAACGTGACAAACTCAAGTGCTCGACCCCGGGACATCATAAAAAACTTTTGGAGGTTGTGCTCGTGAAGTTTCTCCGCCCACTTTTTCTGAACTTCGCGACGAGTGTGACTGACAAACACGACTTGGCAAAAGATTTTCATGTCAAACCATTGTCTCGAAAAGTGCTCAAGCTTTGAGCGCGAAATCAAATAACAAAGCTCACATTGCATTCTGCATACAGTGCTTGTGTTAAAAATTTGGTGTGTGCGCACTTCTTAACGTATACGCATAATCCAATGCAATGTAGACGGTTTCTAGACCGTCATAAACGCAAGCGTGCATAGGCCGCGTCGTCTGCTGTTATTATGGGATCGGTGCGGCATCTGGCGGCGAGCGCCAAAACTATAAGGGACGGATGACGCGTATGTATTTAGCGCTAATGCGCGGGCACAAAAAAATATAGGAGGCTATGGTATGACATGGATTTGCCTAGTCTTCGTGCTTGCGGGCGGCGAATCGCACCTATGGCTTCGCTTATTGCTGTGTTTTCGTTTTGTTTCGAATGAAAGAACAGACCGTTTTAAACTTCGTGAGCTGATTTGAAATGGTGATCCTAAAAGGTGATACGTGGTGACGTGTAACTGCCGTACATTTGTCGATTGTTATTTCGTGACAAAGCAACTTAAATTCACGTGAAGAAAAGGGAACGTAAAGTACAAATACTAGGCAAATCCATGTACTTACTATATGCATACCCATAATTCTCATGCTCGCTGAAGCTCCATGCGTTGCTGCTCTCATAGACACTAGCGCCAGAGTTCTCTCTTGTGTATATTTAGAAAACTCTATGGAGCCGATCACTGAGGCAAGGTGAAGTTAGGTGACACACAGAATGCTTGAAATGGCTCCAATACTTCACCTGACCCATTCCTAATGTCAATAAAGTTTTATCCTCCTAAGGTACCGAAAGCTTTCAGAAGGGAGGGGGAGGGGGGAGGTTCACCGAAAAATCAACAAAGAAAAGGAAGATTGCGTTCGCCTTCGGCCAATGTATAAGGAACGACAGATAAATAAATGAATGCAAAAGCTTTTCTAACCCGAAGAGGGCCCCTGCCACATAGTGACCAGGAAGCCTACGTGGTTTTTTTTTTTTTTGCTGTAATAAACTGAATATATATCCACTCAGTTTCACAATTTAAACAGCAATAAACCAACTTCTAGTGTTTTATAATCCGATTTGAGGTCAAGATGCGTTCGTGCAAACCGTTTTGAAAACATTGCTTCTATGCGGTGTGCACCAAAAAGCGTTTTGTTGCAAAAAACAAAAAAAAGTGCCGCCATATCCACGAAGTGAATGATGATGAGTGGGCGAAGCTCTGGAGGAAAACCTGGTAAACCATGAATCTTCCGTACATTTTGCCTACTCGATTTTATTACAATGCTCCCCCTAGCGTACGTCGCCGCACTAAATCGAACGATTGCCTTCCACCAACGACACGTGCCATATGTGACATCATTCCTATTTTATAACATCTCGCATCTTTCATCATCAACTACAAGTACCGCCGTCTAGTTTATAACATCTTGCACCTTTTCATCATCAGCTACAAGTCCCGCCATCTAGTGAGCACTGAAAGAACTAAACGAGAGGTGGCTACATGCAGGAGACGGAGCCGCCATCTAGTGAACACTGCAAGAACTAAACGAGAAGAGGCGACATACAGGAGACGGTACCGCCATCTAGTGGACACTGCAAGAACTAAACGAGAGGTGGCTACATACAGGCTACAGGGGACGCACAGCCCACGCCCTAAGGAGCTTCGCCCCTAAAAAAAATGTTTTACGTGGAACCGTATTAACAAGGTTCCTCGGCAGGGGCGTTTTTTTTTTTTTTTTTGAGGGGGGTGAGTTCAACCAAACGTTGTATATACGAGCGGGCGTTTGTATAAGTGCGCGCATTTTATACGCAAGCAAAACTGTATTTTTTTTTTTGGGGGGGGGGGGGGGAGCTTTACTTTACTATTATGAGTGAGCGAAAACGGTGTTGGAGCAGACGTTCCACGCGAGCGCCTTACTTGAGCGAAAGTTGAATGAATTAGCATATACAAATCATCCAAGAGGCAAGATGAGCTGAATGATTGCTGAAGGTTACATTTATAACAATAATAACGAAAAGCCGTTCGCCTTCTTCTGATCTA